CGAGTGTGGATAATTTTGGGAAATGTAAATGTACTGGGAATTTGGTGGGAGGAGGAGGAGGAGGAAGTGTTTCTGTGTAGTTTTCATTTTCCTTGTGTTTTTTCCCTTTTTCTTTTGTAGTTTAGTTTTTGTAGTTTAGTTAATAAAGTTTTTTTTTTTCCTTTTTCCTTGAGCAGGAGCCTGCTTTGCTTATTTCCGGGTACCATCTCACAGCAGATGCCAGGGAGGGGGGGGAATTTTCATGGGGGGCACTGGCATTGTGCCAGTGTCAAACCATAACATTTATTTGGTTTCCCCTGACCGGGAATCGAGTTTTAAGAGAGTGATGGGATGAAGCTGTGAGATGGGACCAAAGAGGAATAAGAACAAAGCATGTATTAAGTTGGTTTATTGTGTAGGAATGTTTTGTAATTTATTTAATAATTTTAGAATGTTTGTAGTCTCAAGAGGCGAAGGGTGGAAAGCAACCGCCCGGAGTCCCTGGTGGTCTAGTGGTTAGGATTCGGCGGTCTCACCGCTGCGGCCCGGGTTCGATTCCCGGTCAGGGGAAACCAAATAAATGTTATGGTTTGACACTGGCACAATGCCAGTGCCCCCCATGAAAATTCCCCCCCCTCCCTGGCATCTGCTGTGAGATGGTACCCGGAAATAAGCAAAGCAGGCTCCTGCTCAAGGAAAAAGGAAAAAAAAAAACTTTATTAACTAAACTACAAAAACTAAACTACAAAAGAAAAAGGGAAAAAACACAAGGAAAATGAAAACTACACAGAAACACTTCCTCCTCCTCCTCCTCCCACCAAATTCCCAGTACATTTACATTTCCCAAAATTATCCACACTCGGTCTGGCACCACCCTTTAGAAAAAAATCAAATCTTCAGCTCATGAGGGGTAGACGGAGTCCTTCCTTGTACCACGGACTTCTTGTCACAATCAGCAACCGCCCGGAGTCCTGCTATCTCATGACATCTCCTTTCCATGCCAAGGTGCTCTCACCACCAGGCATGGGATGGGGCAGGGGCCTGCCTTCAGGGCCTTTTAAGGATGCCTCGTCTCGTTCCTAGCAGAGCACAGTCTCATCTCTAGGACCTTTGTCCCCCCCATTTCTTCTATACCCCCTGGGGCCGAGGGGTCTCAAAACCAAACTCTCTTGACTCCGAGCCTCCGCTCCCCCTGCAATGCAGCCTCTGTATCACCAGGAAACAGTCCATGGATACACAACAAAAGAGTCCAGCAAGATTGCCACTCCATCTTCCTCCATTCCTTCAACATCTCTCCTTCCCTTTGCCAGACCCCCTTACTGGCCTGTTTCTTCCTTCATCTTCCACTCTTATCCCTTTCCCAGGAAAGGTAATGTTCCGTGAAGTTCTCACTATCCACAAGGGTTAAAAGCTCTCCCAGGCGGCCGGACTGCCCGCTGCCCCCCCCTTCTCCTCCAGCCGTGCTGCCAGCACATGATATCAAGTTTCAAGGTAAACAGTTCAAGCACAGGCTGCATTCTCTCCATCTCCAAAGGAGGGGGGGGGGAGATAAACAGGTCGCACGATGCTCCCCCCACCCTTCCACCAAATCCAGGCCTACCGTAGATGGGCCACGTGGCTTTCCCCTCCCCCAGCCCAGCCAGCAACTGGGCCGGGGGAGAGACCACACTACCTTCCCGCCGGAAATCCCAAGAGGGCTCTGAAGGACAAGAGCCCTGCTTTTAACTCCTTGGGTTTGTAGTCTCAAGAGGCGGATCCAAACGCCCCACTGGTCAAACCAGGTGCTCATCTTAAAATCCGACCACCCATTGGTAACCACAGCAAAAACAACATATCCCAGATGTCCCACTTCCGGTCAAACCACGACAGCATAGCTGAGGGACAGGGGACAGGGACGTGGAGAGGTAGAAGGGAGTTCCAGGGGGTCCTTGAGCCCAGGAAAGGGGAGTGCAGGGTTTCCCAAAAAGGGGGGACCAGGGTGGGGACATCCAGGATGTTCGAGAACGAGGAGTTCAGGGGGTCTCTGGTTTTGCACAAAGCTGGGGCTGGGGGCTGGGAAAGCCAGGAATGGGGGACCATGGCATTCCAGGGAGTCCCAGGGTCAAGCCCATGGCCAGTCTGGAGGCTGGGAGCCATGGGATGGCCGGGAAAAGGGGAGCAGGGAGCCCTGATGTCCAGAACAGGGGGATTCAGGGGGTCCCTGCGCAGGATAAGAAGAGCAGGGGGGTCCCGGTGCCAGCAGTGCCGGTTCAGGGTCCTGGTGCCGGGGGTCCCACTCCCCCCTGGCCCCCCAGGAGCGGCCCCAGCCCCAGCGCTGGAGCCATTGCGCTGCTCCTCCTCACTGCCTGTGTGATCCCAGCATGATCCCAGTAGAACTCAGTCACCCGTGTGAAATACAAAGCTGTGTTTCGTGTCAGGTACAAACAGGCAACGTGTGTATTTGTGAATGTGAAATGTGTGGACCTCGACAATGGGAGAGCTGTGAATTCTAATAATAACTGAGGAGAATAAAGCATGGAAAAAGGCCTTTGAACCTATCTTTTGTTTGCAAATTAACCCTAGTTGATTTAGGAGCATTGGAATTAAAGTATTAAAGATGCTGCTTTTTGCCTGCATTTAATCCATAATAAGCTCTGCAATAATAACCTTTTGAAGGATAATTTTAGAATATTACTTGTATCCTTGAAACTGTAGCTTTGCAATATATATAAAGGAAATATGCTTATCTCATGCCTTGTTGAAGCAGAGAAAAACAGCTTGAGAAAGGAAGATGAACATCACCTCAAGGATTTATGGTTTCGACCAAAGGGAAACTGGACCGCCACCATCTGGGATCCTCCTTTTGAGATACATCTTGAGAAACTAAGATCACAATAGTGTATAGAATCATGATGTAATAATTTGGAATAAAAATTGCTGATGAGTAAAAAAATTGGAAATAGAAACTGCTGAAAAAGCTGATGAGTACCCCTATAAATACCTGCAACCATCAACTATCGGTGTGCAGTTGGAGGGAAAACTTCCCCCACTGTACCCAGCGCTGTATTGCTCATACTTTACCATATTAAATAATAAATTGATTGCTGCTTGAATATTGGCCTAGTCAAGCTTCTTATTCATAACACTGTTAGCTGTGCTCTTCTATGGGCTGGCCATGGCACTTGGTAATTAATATGCTGAAATTCTGTGAACTGAATTCACACCTTACAGGGCTGTGTTCACTGGGCCTGCTGGATCAGTGCCCACTTCCTTCCTCTGGTCCTCCTCACTCCAGGACTGTAAGAGACCAGCATGGGGTCAAAGACCCTGCAGTATCATTACCCTCTAGTAATGCTCAGAGGTCCTCTAAAGGCTGTGTAATGCACAGCATCTGGGTGTGGGGCATGTGCTAAGGAGAATGAAAGAGTCTGTGAGAAAGCTGAGCTGCTCTTACATGGGACTGAAAAAATGACAGGAACTTTTTGGCATATAAAGCTTTTCTTCCAGGTCAGGGACCAGGGAAGGCCTAATCAGCTGTGGCCCTACAGGGCAAGTCTGTGCTAACTCCCAGCACCAAGTGCAGGGCTGTGGGACAGGGCTCCTACAACAGCAGCACAGCTCTGTGCAAGAGCCCAGCCTTGCACCTGGGTTCCTGCCTGCTTCCCCTTTAGAGACAGCTGTGGCCCGAGGATTTGTGTCTGAGGGAGAGCTCCGTCCTTGGACCTCCTGACCTTTCCCAAGTGGCCAAATGGGGATGCACCAGCAGCACTGCTGGGACGGTGCTGGCTCAGTGGCTGTTTTTTGAGACTGTGCCCCCCATATCAGCTTTATGTGTGTATGGGGGTGCTCTGGTGGGTGTGGTTACACACTCACTGGCCTTGGCAGAGCACAAGTCGGAACCTTTGAAGGTTCCAGCTGCTGTAAGGCTCAGGAGGCAGAGCTGGTGCTAGGCACAGTGTGGCACTGTGCTGAGGGAAAGGTGAAAACAGTTAATAATCCACCCTCAGCTAATCACTGAGGGCTGATGGGAGGCACAGGCTTGGTGAAGCTGCTTTGTACAGGCCAAGGTGCTTATTAGCTGTGCAGTGTCCCCAGCAGCCCCTGGCACTGCTGGTGCAGCTGAAGGACAGGCTTGATGGGTCTGGTGCAGCCCCACAACCTCAGACACTGCGGCTCCACCGTGCAAAGCAGCATGGCTGAGCTGGTTGTGGTCAGGTGAGGGCTCAAATATATTTCCTGCAACTTGCTCCAGCACAGTTCAGCCTGGAAAAAAGGCATTTTTCCAAGTGTCGGGGAGTAAAGCTCCAATAAATGTCAGCTGAGCCCTGCTGCTTGCTCCCCTGCATGAAGCCTCAGTGAGGCACCAGGGCCTCCTGTCAGCAGGAGGGGAAGGGAGATCAGAGTTGTTTGAAGAATACGTGACTGAAGGCTGAGCACAGGGTTGGTGGTGCTTTGCGTGGCTCTTGCATGACATCCAGGCTGGCTGTGGCAGTGTAAGCCAACCTTTTGTTTTGCATCAGGCTTTATGCCAGAGCCAGCCCCTTTCCAGCCTTTGGGGTGGATACAGCTGTTGCTCTGTATTTCCCTCCCTCCTTTTTTTTCCAACAGCTATTCCACTCCAGCACCATAGGCAGGCAGTGATGGCTGCCTGTAGCTAACAAGACAAACTGAGATCTGCCTGCAGAGCCATAGGAAGGTGTCCCTGGGCTTGTGAGACAGGCCAGGACAACACAAACTGAGGCCACAGCCATGCTGTGCTTTCAGTTGAGCCTGTGGTGGAGCTGCTGTGCTTGTAGTCAGTCATAGATGGGACAGGTGGCATATCTATCTTAGCTGGGACAGAAACAGAAGTACAGCCCTTGCACAGCATCCTTCTGCTAGGCTGTGCTAAGCTCAGGGGCCTCTAAACTGGCCCTTAAGACCTAGGTCTCCACTCCTTGCCCAGATCCCCAGCCTCAGGGAGGACTTGGGTTTAGGAGCCATGGCTTTTTCTTCCATCAGACTCCTTTAAGAAAAAGTCAAGTTAAGCAGTTTATTAACATTTAAAATACTGTACAGCATTTAAACCAAATATCAACAGCACTGAGGCGGTCGCCAGAACACACGTTCCAGATGCAGATATGTCGGTCAATAGTGCTACCTCCAGTGGCTAGAACATTCATCTGCCATGGGCACCACGCCACAGCCTGAAAGAGGAGAGTTCATTTTAAAACATACAAGAGGCAACCTGCACCCAGCTAGTGCTGCATGCCTGCCTTGCACACACTTATCCGCCCGTGGCAGCTCTGGGCTCACCTTGACAGCACCCTGGTGGTGAGTGAAGGTCTGCAGAGGAGCAAAGTTGCCATCCCCACCTTGGGTGCATGGCCAGACATTCGCCAGACTGTCATTGCCACCACTGGCCAGGTAGCGGCCATCCAGAGACCATTTGAGTCCGCACACCTCCTCTGTGTGGCCAGCAAGGGTGGCCACGTGATGCTCAGCCACTCGGACATCGTGGTGATGGATGTGCCCAGTCCGTGCACCACTGCAGAGAGAAGAGAAGGTTTGCAGGGTCAGGCTGCACATTTTCACCCAAATCCATTTCTGTTGTTGCAAGACTGCTATACCTGCCACTGGGTTTTAACCAGTGTTACCAGCAACACAGGTCTGTTGGTGTGAGTGAAACACCCACACAAGCTCTTTACAACTTCAGCACAAATTGCAGTACAGGAAAGAGGCCTTCTCCTCACAGCCCCAACACATAAGGCTGAGTAAGAATCCCAAGCCAGGACAAACTTCTCTCTGCCATCCCTAACCCATGCCACACATAGATTGAGGGATAGGAGTTTGCAACAACTGGAAACTGTCCTTGACCCACTGCTTTACCTGGAGAGGATGTAGCTGTTCCAGCTGAGGGCCCCCACACGGCCATAATGGCTGGTCATGGTTTGGAGACATCTCAGCGGCTGAACGTCCCATAGCTGGAGAGGCAAAGCAAAAGGTTCTTCAGAAGAAACCCAATCCTGTTTCTATGCCCTAGGAACCTCACTGCACAGGCTCTCTCAGCTTTCTCAGTAAGGGAACAGAGAAAATGTGTATCTCATGACTAGAGCACAGAAGGTAACGCTACTTATCAGAAAACCCCCAAACCAAACCCTGCCTTGCACACTGGGCAGTTCCACCCCACACCAGGGAAGACAAATCAGGTGCATGGCATCCTTCCTCTGCCAGCCAAGGTTTTGTCCCCAGGCCCCACAGTTCTGTCAATTCCTAGAAAACACCTCTAGTTTTAGTCCTGCATTCACCTGAACCTCAGCACTACGTGTGCCAACAGCAAGGTAGTCTCCATCTTTAATCCATGACACAGAAGAAATGTAAATATCTGGATGCTCCGTCTGCAGCAGGGGGGTAAGCTTCCTGGTACCGTAACTCCACAGATAAACGGTGTCGTCCAGAGCCACTGCCAGGAAGTTCTGGGAGCTCCAGTCTATGAGATTCAGATCTACAATTTGAAAGAGCAATGCAGGTCACACCATGCTTGGCTAGAGAGCCCTGCCCTTCACCCGTGCTGACGCAGCAGGTGTGCGTGCACATGTGCACACACACACGTACAGGTGAGGGGCAGCCTTCTGAGTGTCACTATGCCCAGCTGCTGGGGCCAGGTACCCTGCCCCAAGGCATCTACACAGTGCCCTAGACCACTGTCCCTGTAAGGCCACACAGGGACACTCCAGAAGGGGTCTGTGCTAGCCTGGGTACACAAAATAATACAGACAGCCCAGTTACACTGTCCTAGGAACAGCAATCCAGTGCAGAATGTTCTGGATGCCCAGCACTCAACCCTGCAGCCTACTTACAGTAGTCGTCGTGGATCTCTGGTGCATCCAAGACCCATTCTGGATTTGAGGGAATATATCTGCTCTTCTTCCTGCTGAATCCAGGTGCCATTTTCTGATTGTAGAGCACGTTCAGGTTATTCTGATAGCCTGTGTGCAGGGGAACAGGTTTGTTAACCTGAGTTAGTTTCCTCCCAGCTGAGTGCTGCCCATCCAACTAGGAATCCCTTGGAGTGAAAATAAAGTCCTAAGAGAAACACTCACAAGCCTGCAGTGCACTAAAATCACTGGCAGTATGAACTGCTGAACAGGGGTGAGCTACAATTTCCTCATTCATGGAAACAAATTTAACAAACACTTGGGTTTTTGAATCCCATTATATTTAGTTGCAGTTTAAGCTAGAAAGTGCACAGCAGAGAGTTTGATGCTCTTACAGACTTCATGAAGGTTTGGAACCTGCAGTACAGGTGACTGTCACCGACATCTTTTCATAAAAATCCTTTCTTTAGGATTTTTCCCCCTTCTGAGAAGCTGTGACCTCAGCAACAAAATGTAAACAATGGTTATCTGCTGCTGTGGGATGCAACAGGTGCGTCCGTGGTTGGTCTCGGGTGAATGTTTGGATTTACTGACCACTCACGGCAGAGCTGGGTCTCACTCTCTGCTGAGACACAGCCCTTTGTTTATTCATTCTTTTTCTATTCTTAGCTTAGCTAGCTTCTGAGAACTTCCCTTCTATTTCTTTTAGTATAGTAATAATGTAATATATATAATAAAATAATAAATCAAGCCTTCTGAACATGAGGTCAAGATTCTTGTCTCTCTCTTCACCCTGAAGACCCTTGCAAGCCCTGTAACAGGTGACCAACTGGCAGTCATGGCAACTTTCCTAAATAAATTCTCTGTAACTGTTATGCCCTCCCTCGATCTCAGGAACCTTAAGAAAGGAGACTCCAGCCAGTACAGCTCTCAGAAACCAGTTGATTTCTTCTGTGACCACACACAGAGCCTCTGTGTTGCTGTTCCCCTGACCTGATCTCTCCTGCTGATTCAGCTCACACAGAGCCTGTATCATACCTTCTGGAGCATTCTGTGCTTTTCCTCTGAGGTGGAGGATCTTTGCCTCTTCTACATCAAAACCATTCAGATTCACTGCCCAGGCTTTCTGTTGCTCCTGCAGAGACAAATCACCCTCAGTGCAATGCATTTAAAACAATTCCCACACTGCAATTTAAACAGACACCTAAGTCCCCTTCTCTTAGAATCTGAAGATGTTTGCCTGTGCTGCAAGGGTCAGTCACACAGAGGCAGGTCAAAGCAGTTTTTCCTCAGACTTTCATACATCGTCCTGCTCACATTTTCACACAATGGCAAATTCAGTGTCATTGCCAGTGGGAAAAGCCACAGCCACAAAGTGACCAAATGCTTCACAAACAGATTTCAGAACACAGTGTAAAACATTCCAGAAGTGTTCCCTGTGGAGACGCTGTCCTAGAATAGCTACCACCAGCAGTTTCACTTTGCATAGGCTCACAGCTTTGTGTTTTTGTTGCCTGCTACATTTTAAAGCCTTATTAGTCAAAAGCTAAATTTTGCTACCAGAAGCAGCATAGGCTTAGAGTGCATGGCAGTCTCTACAGCTTCAATCTCATCCTAGGCTCCTGAAGCCCAGACCTGCAAGTAGTGATGGCTGGGACTTGTCAGTCCCACGTGCCCACTTGATAGAACCTATAGTTTAGTGCTCTGTAAAGGGGCAGGAAGGAGTAGCGGTTGTTGAAGTAATTGTAACTTAGCAACATGCTTACCTTCTTGGTAGGGGAATCCTCAGCAGGGTCATTCTCTTTGGTTAGGAGGAAATTTGCCATCTCCATCTGCATAGTGCTGCGTTTGGGAATGTAGCGATCCCCCCCAGCCTTTGTGGGGTAGCTTTGAATTTTGGATCCAGATTTACCCGCATTCCCATATGAAAATATTGTCTTACAGCTATTTAACAGCCTGTATTAGAGCTTTCACGGGAGCAAACCCAACACTCTTCCACATCACACCCACCAGACAAGTAGGACTCTGAGGTCTCATGCCACCCAGTCACAACTAACTTATATTTTCCTCCCTGCCACCAAGTTGGTTAGGGACAGTGTGGTGCAACTCCTTGGGTCTAGTGCAACAATTCCAGAGTCCAGAGATACGGGGAAGATAGAAAAACGCTCACAGGATGTAAAGCTGTCAGCTGACAGTCCCGCCCACACTCGTCCTAGCATACAGCTGTGCCAGCAAGGCTCAGCTGGGCGAACAGCAGCTGGCCAGCCCCAGTGCTCAGAGCTCTGCCCCTCATGCTGGCAAGGAGGTGGGTGGCTGTCAGGAGCACAGCCCACCTCCTCCTGCCTGAGCAGCAGCCGGTAGGGCAGCGTGGGAGAGAGCCCAGAGCCCCGTGGCTACGGACAAGCAGCCTGGGCGAGGCTCCCCCACTCAACCTCTGCCGCTGGTGGCCGGCGCTCACCGGGTATCTTGGACAGCATCTTGCCGTAGCTGTGGGAGGGATTGACCGGCTTCATGGGTGACACGCCGACGGGGCTGGGCCCGGGGCCGCTCTCCTCGGCCTTGCGCTGCCATCGCGCAGGCGGCGCGTTCGGGATCAGCGTGTCCAGCTTCAGCAGCCTGTGCAGTTCCGCCTCGAACAGGAACTGTGCCATGGTCCTGCGGGCGGGCGGCGTTAGCCGTGCCCACTGGCCGGGCTGAGCCTACTCCGACAGGCCCCGCCGGCTTCCCCACCACCGGACCGCGCAAGCCCACCGGTCACTTCTCCCCACCAACGGACCGTGTAAGCCCACCAACGGACAGCCCCACTCTCCCCAACCGCTCCTCGGGACACTCCATCAGCCGATACGCCCTCCCTCCGCTCCTCGGGGGTCCTTGAGCAGCTGGCACCTCTTCCAGCCGCTCTTTGGGGCTCCCTCCGATAAGCGACATTCTCCCTTCCCCTGCCCGCCTCACCACAGCCTCCCCGCTCGGGACTGCGCCTGCAGGCCGCCTCTCCGGCCCTGTGGCACGCTCACCTCCGCGCCGCCGCCGCCGCCGCTCGCCCGCCCCGCAACCCCGGCCCGCGCCATCGGCCCCTTCACACCCAACGGCCGCGCACTGCCCGGCGACGGCCGCGCGACGCAACGCGATCGGCTGAGCCGCGGGACGGGGCGCGGCGCTCTGCGCGTGCAGTGAGGGGGCGGGACCAGGGCGGGGCGTTCTTGCTGGGGCGGGGCGATCCGGGCCGGGGGCGGGGCGGCGCTGGAGCGACCAGGCGGGGGCTCGGAGGGAACAGGAGTTTATGGCGGGTGGGGGCGGTCGTGGCTGCCCGTGGCTCCCAGCCGCTCATGAGCAGGTAGGACTGGTTGGCGATGTCGGTGCTGGACAGGCGGCCCCCGGCGGCGGGCCTGCCTCACGCCGCGGGCCGGGCAGCACCTCCAGCAGGCAGGGCAGGACGGCCTCCTCCGGCGGCTGCTTGTTGAAGGCATGGCCTGGGGGGACACGGAGTGGACGGGGTAGGGGCTGCCCTTCGAGCTGCCCCCGGGAGCAGCTGAGCCGCCCTGCCCACCCACTCACCTGGCCATGCTTGCTGCTTTCCTGGAGGAAGCTGCCCAGAGCACGGTGCAGGTCAGGAACGGGCGGCCAGAGTTTCTGCTTCACGTTGCTGGGTACGGAGGAAGGGGCATCGAATTTACCCTCAGACTTGAGGTGCCCTAATGCCCTGTGCAAGGTGCCCAGGCTTGGTGCTGGACCATCCCGCCTGCCCCCGGCACAGCCCTTTACCTGTAGAGGGAGGGGAAGGTGCAGCGCAGCCCCAGGAGCGCTGCTGAGAAGAGCAGCAGCACCACCGTAACACTGGGGATGAGCCAGCCTGCATCAGGAAGGAGGAACGCCGGAACTGTAGCCCTTCCCAGACCCACCGTCTCTGAGCCCCTCGCAACCCCCTGTCCCCTGCTCCCCCCCCCCCCCCCCCGCCATTTCCAGCACTCTCCGCCTCTTGCCGTCAGCCGTGTGCCTCCTGCGGCCGCAGCCTCCTGCCCCGCCCCTTACCCGCATCGGCCACGGCATCAACCACAACGGGTTTGGGCCAGGCGCTCCAGCTGCCCCGGTACCACGGCCCGCTGGGCTGGGCCCGCACCTGCGCGGGGTCGCGGGAGCCTGGCCGCAGGTCCAGGACCTTTTTCCCCGCTGCTCGTGGAACCTGCAGGACCTGCGGGGCAGAGCCGAGCTGGAGGCATGGCTGCTGTGGGCTGGCACCAAGGGGCGGGTCCCGCTTGGCCCGACCCCGCGCCTGCCGTGTGTCAGCAGCGGAGGGGGGCAGCGCTGCTCGGGGTATCCTGGGCAGGCCTTACCTTCCAGTCATAGCTGTTCTCCATGGCACAGCGGACCTGGTAGTCCAGCTGCTCTGCCAGCAGCTCCAGGGGCGGCAGCCACTGCAGGCTCAGCCGGCCCGGCGACACTGTTGCCTGCACAAGCTGTGGGGCATCTGTGAGCACTGCTGGTGTTGGGGATAGGCATTTGTCGCTCCTGAGAAACGGGACATGGGACACTGTGTCCCCTGTGAGCCAGGCAGGGGCTGTGGTGGCACTGGGACTCACCAGCCTGGTGCAGCCAAAAGGGCTCCTTGAAGTAGCTGAGTGTGGGCAGCATGTGGGTCCTGGTGACATTCACCAGAACAGAGATGGCACTGCCAGCCTTGGGCTGGAAGGTGCAGGCATAGGTGCCCTGTGCCCCCCTGCTCACCTCCTCACACTGTTACCGTGCATCTTCCCTGTAGGAGGAATTTAGGAAATATAGGGATCAACTTTTAAGGATTATGGAACATAGATAGCTTAGATAATAGAGGATTGTTTAGCTTAGAATAGAATGCTGTTAATTTAGGGAAGCTTTTAAGTAGAAATGAAAGAATTGTCATAATAAGAATTAAGCTGTGAGAGGAAAAATCCATATTTACTCTTCAAATATGAATATTAAACCATGTAAAAATCTTAGTAACCTAAAACATGTGCCTGGTGTTCTGAAAGAAGTATGTGGCAAATTCCAGTTGTCAGTGTTGCCCCTTCCACAAAATGTTCGCAGCAAATCTAGCAGCCTATTCAGAGAGCAAGAAGAAGCAATATTTGCTGTCACTTCATGTTGTACCATAGGCTTTCCTCATTGCATGCCATTTTTAAATTGCAGACTCATGCTGCCCTCTGTTTTTTTAAGAGGTGAATAATAATAATTAGCAGTATACTTCACTCAACATGCAAGATTTGAACAACTGCCTAAGTATATTAAAAAGCCTTTTAAGCAAAGTAACTTTTCAAAACAAAAATTCTTCACGAGCATTAAAATACAGTCTGCAAGTTTCAGCTCACTGTTTAAAAGGTGATGTCTGTGATTGATTTGGCCATGTGATTGATTTGGGCACGATGCCCCTGAGTAATTGACTTTGGCTTGATTTTTTTTACCCTTCTCCTGGATGTTCTGGCAAAAGAAAATATTTAACACAGCACTTATCCCTTTGTAAGAGTAAGATAAACTGTTTTCAGGAATGCATTTTAGAAAGTGTAGCATGACTGTGCTGCCTTTCTTCATTCACTAATAATGAGAAACAAGCAATTCAATGGCAAATACAACTGAGGGACTTGCAGTAGCAAGAGGTTTATGAAACACATATGATTGTAAATGGGCACTGAGATAATGTGGTTCACAAGATGATAACTATTCATTCAGCTTGTTAATATTTTAGTATTTTATCAGGGTTCTAAGTTTTTCTAAGGTTTTTAGTATTTTATAATGTTTGCAGATACAATGATCCTACAAATTTTCACGTAAAATTCATAATACGATTTCTATACTCCAGCCATGCTTTCTAGGTCTTTTTATCAAAAAATTTAGTTAGAATTTTACAAAGGAGTCTTTTTGTTTTCACATAATTTTCAGGTTGCCATGCTAGGCATTATGTATGTATGCGTATCTTTACTTTTCAGCTGACTTCGGAGATTTAAATACCATTTGGGGATTCATTTGCCTGTGCTCTGTAAAATATATACTCTTGGATACAAACAAAACATATTTTGAGCACTGTCATTAGTGTTCATTTGCCCTTAGTTGCATACTTAAAGTTTTTAAAAATTAATAAACACCCCATTCAAAGTATTGTGAGATAAAATACCTACTAAATATATGACAATTATCATTGTTGCTATTTGTGATTGTCAGATTTGAATTTACCAGTGCAAAATGCATAATGTACAACATTTTGTCATGGTAGGCTGTAAACAAAGCCTTGCTAATACTGTTGTGATCATATGTGTCAAATAAAACCTTTTCCAGCCTCCAAGAATAATAGTTTAATAGTCTTTAGAGCCATATCATTTTGTCCAGGGCTATTAGTGGCACTTTATGTCATATAGTCATCAAATGCATTTCTGTGAAAGAGAAAAGAATGAATATTTCACGGCTACGGCTTTTGAAGAACACTCTGTCTTTCAATGTTGGGCTAGTCTGTCAACATATGTGCCAATCAGAAATCTTTAGCAGTTGCAAAATGCATCTTGTCTCCTTGTCAGTGAAGAATGTAAAGATCGTAGGATGTATCTGAAATATTCATCACATAGGCAAAAATATGAGCATTGTATGGAACTGCTGAGCCCTGTAATCACTACCTGGCTGTTTGCTCTTCCCCCCTCATCACTGGCCCTGAGCAGTGAATACTATGGCTACTCACAGTATTTTGGTTACATGATATATCTTGACAATCAGTGATATTACATGTTTTATCTTACTGCTTCCCTCATTTTGGGCATGCAATTGAGTGAAATCCTGTGTACATAATATGTTTTTAAGGTTGCTTCCACTCATAATTAATTTTTGGTAAATAACTTCCTCTTCCTGTGTTTCTCTGCAAGAGGAATATTGCTGACATAAATTGCATCCCAGTCTTCATTCATGAGCTAAAGTAGGATTGCTGAAAACTGCTAGAGTAGATCCTACATGGTCTCTTCCTGTTACTGTACCTTTCAGCCAAATCCAGGGCTGATATAATCAACTGTAACTACTTGATGTAGTTGCTTCAAGTCATATTAAATCTGCTTTTGGCCTGTTACCATGTGAGAGGGGTTATGTGGACAGTGCCCTTTGAATGAACCTGTGACCTGCTGCTGCAATCTGGGCTAGCCACTCCATCACTGGGCACTGCTGGAAGCTATTAAATCTTGTGTTGCTTTATCTCAGTTAAATGTGGTTAAGTGAAAGGACATTATTTTAACTGTCTGCTGTGTCAATGGAATTGCATAAAGCACTAGCTCACAGCATTTCAGCTCTAACACCACTCTGAAAAGTTGGGAAAGTTGAAGCATTAAAATGAATCAAACCTTTGATTAAATGCATTAGTTTTTCAAGATGAAAAGAAAGGTTGGATTCTCTTCTATGCTCCAAGTTATACACTTTAAATGGTATTTTAATGGCTTTTTAAGGCCTATTCACATTCTTTAAAATATGAAATTTCTTCATAGAGGCAAAAGCAATGCATTTTTAACATAAATATTATTCATTCCATATATTAGTGATTTATCCTTGCTAATACATTGATATAGAAACATGGAAATTCAGAAATAAGTGTAGAAAGGATGCAAAAAACTGTAGGGTTTTTAGTGAAAATTACCATGAAAAAAGAACTGCTGAA